TAAGGGATGCAAAGCTCTGTGCTGCGTTGCAGTCGACGCATCTCCGCCACAGCAGCCTTTCCGAGTCGGCGATTGCGCCTCGGCGGCCCTTGCCTCCCGTCAATTTTCCCGCCTGTCTCACCATCCATTGCTGCCCCCCCTTGCCCCCTCCCCCTTCCTCTCCCTCTTCCACCAACCATTGCTGCCCCACCCCCCCTTCCCTTACCTCGACCCCCCCTCCCTGCTACCGTCATTGTCCCCCCGTTGTCGGGTTTGGTTGTAGCCTTTCGCTTCGTTCCTTGCCCCGTCCGCCTGCTACCATCGGTGCACACCGTGCCGGTGACTAGCGCGCTCTTCTCCACAACAACACGTCCTGCACCCGAGTGTGCAGTCGGTCCGTCAAGGTCACATCCCACGGGAGCATCTCCAGGTGGTCTGTTTGCCTCGCATGCCGGTTGTCCCGTCTCTTCAAACTGAGGTTCTCTAATCCCCGCATTATAATCGTTCCCCTTCATGTCCTTCGCTGCCATGTACTCAATGTGCCGCAGCAAACCATCAGAGTACGTCACAAAAAACGGAACACCCAGAGGGTCTCTGAACTCTATGGACAGGTCGGCCCCGTAGGCATAACGCATGGTAAAGACAACGGGTACCCATCCAAGAAGTGCTGACCGCCCATGTCTGCGGCGAATGATGCTCAGACAGTTATCAGGAAAATCCGAACAAGGGTTTGCGCCCACGCCAGCACCCTGCATTGACCACATGTTCTCGTCATCACGACCGTCATATCCACACAATACCATCTGACGGTCATGAGCATTCAATCTATCCCAACACAGCTTTGCATGTTTGCACAATAACGCTTTGTCATTCACCCTTGCATTGCATATCGACACGCGAGCCAGCACAACCATGAAATGCCAATGCTCAACAACACCTGAAGGCATCCAACCCATAGGTACCCACTCGCCTGAACGCAGTCTGGCTGCCATCGTAACTTTCTTTTCAAAAATGTCAGGATGAAAGACACCGGGTACCCAATTCACATGATACCCGTACATCTCCACGGATGAATGTTTGCTCAACTTCGTTTGTGGAATAACAGTGTCAGATATGTCAATATCAGGCAGCCTCTCCGGCGTTGTCCTGTCGGGGTCCCA